GTTTCCCAGGCACTTTAACAAACAGAAACATAAATAATGCAGCACTTGTTCTTGTATTTTGCAGACCGTTAAATTAGCTTGGGATGAACTTGCCTAGAGCAGCTTAGCTCTCAGTTGGCTACACTAGTGGAAGTCACTGTGTCTCTGCACTGAACTGTGGAGATCTCTTGCTCTTCTGTTAATTATATATTAAGTTAATTATATATTAAGTACTCTTGGCTAAAAAAAGACTAAATGCTAGTTGGGATGAATAATTATATATCATGAGTTTCAAATGTTTAAACGGTTACACTCCTGACATCAAATTTTATCTTCAACAATAATAGACTATATATAAAGGAAAATGTAGCCGAACAAACATGTAACCAAACTCGTTCAAAATTCGGAACAATAGTCTAGGAAAATGGACTTTTCTTTACCGGGCAACAAAAATGTGGAATGAACTATCTAATGAATTAAAAATTAACTTTCAAAATACAAAATATGTTACATCATTTCCAAAAATATTACTACATAAATGTATTTCATTGACTCTTCTCTTGCTTGGTTTATATATATATATGTACACTGTACATGTACATTTATATGTACATTTTATATATATATATATATATTCTTTTAATTTTTGTTAATCCAATTCTATTGTATATACTTTTGTTATGTTTAAACTGTACCACTTTGAAAACTAGTGCAATACTGAAAGTGCCTACAGTATAACGAAAGAATAAATAATCATAAAATAATTGCTCCCCGGTTCAATCCCCATTGCTGCTCTACTTGTATTTCAGCCTGAGGGCTGAATTGCAGGTTATTTTACCGCACCGTCTTTCGGATGAGACGTTTAAGCTCTCAGTGCTGTGTGCATTATGGCCCATGTGCACGTTAAATAACGCAGTACACTGGCGTTTCTGTTTTACATTGCTGCTTCTTGTGCTGAAGATACAGTTCAAACCCAGCTAAAGTTGGGTTTTAATTAAAGCCTGATCACTATGCTCCTTAAAATACAGTAACCCTCATGTGAGTGTTAAGAAAGAAGGAACGTATTGGTACTGGCGGCACCCTATGACCGCCACGGGTGTCCATGGGCCTAGCGAAACATTTCCAATTCCAAATTTGGAAGTGACAAAAAAAAAATAAAAAATTCAAAAAAAATTAAATGTTAAAATTAATAGAAAAGAATTATTAGAAATAAAATATGCTAATGTAGAATATATAATCAATGTATGAATGTCCACCCATGCCCTACATCTCAAAATATTAAGTAAGATAATAATTAAGTTCTAATCTTGAGCAAACTATTAAGTACGTGACAGGAGCATCATGTTACCGATTGGAATTCAAATTGAATGTGATAGAAAGCGATGATCTTGTAATGCCGTATTACTGTGAACTGTAAGTGATATCGTGGAGTTATCACTTGAGTGAATTGGCCACTTCACGAGAGTAAATCCCGTCAAAGATAAAAATTGATTATGGGGGAGGCCGAAGTGAAGCGGAATAAACATCGGTATGAACAGATCATGAGGAAGGGAAAGATGACAAAATTCAAAGATCTGAATAATATAATAACGTATTATCCTATCGAAGAAAAAAAAAATTGATGATGAAAGAGGGTCGAATTGAAGCAGATTAAACGCCGGAAGAATAGATCGAGAGAAAGGGAAAGATGACGAAATTAGAAAATCCAAATATTATGAAGTGATTTCAATTTAATTGATGTCTACTGAAAAGAAAAATAGCATGTGCTAATTTATCTTTTTCTACACGATTGATGAGACATTTTATAAAGATTAATTTCAAGGTCGAATATACAATAACACTTTCTCTCTTTACAGTACTATCAGCAAAACCAGACAGATGTTATCTGTCAGATAATTGTTTGATTAGACATTGATAGTGTATGCTATTATTACAAATATCTGATCAAACATTGGTTTTACACTGTGTGTTAGTCATGTGAATAAATCGCTAAACAATCTGTCTTTCATATCAACTGGATATTAAGCTTGAGCAGCCCACAATATTCTTTGACAAAAAACTGTTGTATGCCCACATAAAGTCATGATGTGCCTATATATGGTCATGATGTGATGTCATCATGACCATATTTAGGCATGTCACATGTTTTTGTCAAATAAAATTTGATTGATAAAATTTGATAGTATAGGTTTTTAGACAATATTCTAATTCATCAAAATACGATCAAATATTGTATGAATTTATCAGATAAATACCTAGTAGTCTATTCTGATTATTTCAAATAATTTATTTCAATACCAAAATACAATAGGCCTACATTCACATCAGGCAAGACTTTTTTATTCCTTGTTTCGCGTACTTATTTTTTTAAAGATCACCAGAGGAAGGCGGAATTTAAAAAAAAAATTAAATTTTGTTTTCGGTTTTCTTATTGAGCAAAAAGAAGGAGAATGTAAAAAGAAAATTTTATTGTTGAATGAAAAATGGGATGGATAGATGCTTCAAATTTATATAATTAGGAGGAAATATACATGTCTTATCCTTGGATATATCAAGGCAGGGGAGGGTGTGATAAAAATAAAGAAAACTTTTATTTTTTTCTGAAATTTCTATTTTTTCGTGGCAGCGGATGTGCTAATTGGCCAAAAATAAAATTTTATTTTTATTCAAAATCATCAATATTTGCGTTCGGCGGGTTTGCTAAAAAAGGTATAAGTCTTGTCTTAACAAAAAAATATAAACAATAAAAATATTAAATCAGTCTGAAGGAGATCTCTTGTTCCCCAGTGTTGCTTAATATTCTGTCATTATAGTCTACAATTTCAATGTCAATATTAGTAATTTAAATAGGTTTGGAAGTCAGTTAAAATTTCTTATTTTAGCATTTCCGTGAAATGTTGCAGTTTCCACCTAAATCGAATTCAAAATTGAAAAAAAAATGGATTGCTTAATTCATATTTTTTATAAATTATACAGGTGTAACCTTTTAACTGAAAGGAAAATTATGACAGGAAAAATAAATTTCCTTAAATAATAATACCATTTCTGAAAGTTTAATTTCTGTAAAAGGATTTTCATGGTAATAGTATCTAAATCAATGACGGTATTCGACCGGTTCGCTTTGTTGACGATTTTGCGTTGAGCAATATTTTCATTCGGCTGGTTCGTATAATAAACTTCGTTGACAAGAAAAATTAAGGTAAAATAGAGTGCGTTAATTTGCAATAAGTTTTACATGTGACGAAAAAACAAAATGGTCGATTGGTCAGTTTAGCAAAAAACATTTGTGTGTATAATTTAATAAATTTCAATAAACTTTAAATAATAATAATAATAAAAATTAACTGCAGGCCAACATAATTTAAAAACTACATGAAAATATCTGTTTGACAATAAACAACAACTACCACAAGCCAAAACTTCTACCGGTTTTCTGTTTGTCTGGTCATAATCGTTAAGTAGGATTTTATCCTTGAGAAGGCAGGCGTGGTTTAACAAAGAACGACCAGTCGAATACAGGCAATTAATATATAATCTTTTTTTTTTCCGAACTGTGACGTAGGAAAATTGTTAACTTTTAAAGCGGTCGTTTTAAATGAGCATTAATTGTTTTTAATACCCTTTTTTAAAGGTTTTATTGATTATTAGAGTGTCAGCAATTTTTGAAGCACAGAATTAGAATTACTGTACTGATGTTTTAGTTAGCAAATTTACATGTATAGAAGATTCAAGTAGATTTAAAAAACTAAAGACAAAGTATCTATTTATTAAATGCATTAGCAAGTTCAAGCAAATAAGAATTGTGATTGATCCCGATCTCATTCAATGAATTATGATGTAAATCAATGTAAAGAAAATGGTAAAAAACAATACATTTTTAGTCCTTTGATCAATGCAACTGCCGACGACAATACACTACATGTAACACAGGTAATTTCGCAGAAATAATTAGCATATTTTCATTCTTCTGGCAAAGATTTTAAATACCTTTAATCACAAACCAACCACCTGCAAATATTGATTTTCATTTTGGCCAGTTAGCATACCTGCTGCGTCAAAATATGAGGTACAGGTAAAATATTATACTGGTATTAAATCTATTTTATTATGAAAGCATACATGATAAGAATACTGTGTTTAATATAGTTACTATACACACACATTAAATATACATACACATTAGAAAAATTGAATTGGTAAATAAACTGACTGTATCAGAACTATAAACCTTGAGTCAAAGATAGAGCATTAATGCTGTCATTTTCTGGGAAAATGTAGAAAAAAAAAACACATGAAAAATTAACAACAAATTGAACCGTTCATTTTTAAAAGGAATCAGGTTTATAAATTCCAATACTGAGTCACAATGACAGTTTAGTTATTGTTGATTTATTCCAGAATTTAAACTACATGAATACTTGCATACACCTATGTTGTGTACAGTGTTTATGTCAATTGATCTTGATACATGAGCATGCACAGTTCTAACTATAAATTGCCTTATTTGGTGTTCCTACTAAATTTATTGCTAAAAATTTGCTATGGACAATATTTACCATTCTCAACCATCCCTCTAAAACCATGGGTATAGGCTGGCAGGTTTTTGCACCCACTTCCCCAGTTCCGCAATCTCAATTTTCGGAACCACCCCCCCCCATCCTCTCCAACCTCCTAACTGAAACCAACCTACACAGATTCAGAGTAAGCTTAGATGTAATAATTGAGATAAGTAAAGTATCCAAATGGTATGATATGTTTCATTGTCCTGGTAAAGTAATAAAATTAAATAATTATTTGTATGCCATTGTATTATTTTTTTTCCTGTTAAAAAATTTAAAAAAAACAGTAGTGAAAAAATTTAGGTCATTCGCCCCCCCCCCCAATTCCCCTCCCTAAATATGCCCCTGCGAAAGAACCACACCTGGGATATTACACGGGGAACAAGACCAGAGCCCTAGCCCCTTGCTCTAGAGTCCCTGAAGACAAATTTCTAGAGTAACTTAATGGGTGATGTTACCTACTTGAGCAGTTTTCTTGAGTTGCGTATTCAGCGATGATTGGCTTAGTTCTTGCACAATGTATGCTATTCTGACAGCAGTCTCCGTTTCATTGCGTTCTTTATTTGTTTCCATTACATCTGTAACAGGCAAAAGACAGCAAGTTAATTACTAGTTACAGCTGAATGTAGTGTTCATGGTTTACATTGAAAATAACTCATTCCATAATTAATTTTGCTAGGATACTGTTTGGCGCAGTGGGAAAGGTTTGGTTTCCCAACCTCGAGGTCGGGGCATCAATCCCTTGCTGAGCATTTCACTGTGTGCTTGAGCAAGGCACTTTATTGGCATTGATTCTCTACACCCAGGAGTATAAATAGGTACCTGGTGGGAAGCAAGACTTAAGCATGTGGTCACTCACAATGACCAGCCAAAGAGTTGCTTTGTATAGATGCAAAGAGAAGGCGCTATAATTAAACGAATACATAAATAAAAAAAATAACAAAATCAAATTATGATTACTATTAATTTATTATTATCCAAGTTCTTTGTGAGAATATTTGGCTTCAGGTTGAACACAAATAACCTAGTCTATCCAAAAGACCGAAACCAAACACCAATAAAAGGCAAATCATATTAAGACAATAAAAAAATGATAATAATAACAATATTCAGGTAATTAAATCATACTAATATATTTGTTATAATAGGCTTGCAATACAATACTTATTATAATGACGACGATGACGGTAACAATAATAACAGTGGTCTAAACTTCATCTTCATGACTTTGATGAACTCTTTTTCTAGACTTGAAAATGCACACATCCAGCTTTGCTTGCAGCCATATACTATACCTGCCAACATTCCTGGCATCTGATGCATTAGACAAAAAAAATTTGTATATAGCGCCCTGTTAAATTCATAAAATAGAGCGCCCTCTATTTTTTTTTTATTTTAGTGACCAGCGAACAGTCATCAGTCAGTAAATTTATGCATTCACATTTCAATGATGAATTCACATTATTTTCATTAATTTTTTGCATAATCGGCCAATACTTTTTATCTTTTACAATGTTATAATGCGCGAGATAATACAACTTAGACGTGAGACGTAAAAAATGAATGCATTTTTTTGAGCTCGGCACTTAATTTAACACCTAGTCAGATATTATATTTAGGAGCAACATAATTAGGATAGTAACTATCCCCATATGCTAATGAATTCTCTCAATCTCATGGAATCATCTCACATCAAATTTGAAAATATTATCAGTTTATGATTTTTTACAATAAAGGAAAAAAAATGATTGATTAGGCTCAATAGTAATGATTATTAGTTTATCACCCTATCTAGGCTGGAAAAAGTGATAAGGGAGGGAGGGAGGCTTTTTATTTTGTTTTTTATTTTGCTAAAGCCAAATTACATTTGTTTGCTAGTGCATTGATATTTAAAGTAAAATGCATGATTGAGATAATACAAACAATCAACTATTAACTAAAAAACTGAAGGAAATTTTTTTTTTTTTTTTTAATTTTTTTTTTTTTTTCAATACCACAGACGACAGGCGGGCAAGGGTGATAAACTAATCTTTTTTTTTTATTGGGCCTTATTCCCAACTATTCTCAACTACAAACAACCAACATTTATCAACTGAATAATCTTGTAATTTCATCCATCAAAACCACTGCTCCTGTTGAACTTGTAGTTTCTGCTGCAATTAGTCAAGGTCATGAATCAGTAAAACAGAACCTCTTTTATTGTGCGTTAAATTGCACGCAGCTAAATGTCGCAAAACAATCCGTAAATTTTCACATTAATCTTTAAATGCTCAACACAAAGATTAATGAATAATAAGTGCAGAAAGTGGAGCATGTGGCTATACCTACAAAATCTGCGCTGAAATCAGCCCTTATTTTCAGAAATGCGCGGACAGATTTTTAGGCCAAATTTTCGATCGGAGGATATATTCCCTGCGCAGGCCTTACTATACAGTCTAGGAGGCTGGGCTATCTATGTATCACCATACCATATGCCTAGCCTAGCTTCGACTTTCTCAGCATCCTAATTTTATTCAAAAATTAAAATAAAACCACATAATATTACAGGGCTTACAACTAGCTTCTAGACTGTGTAGTAAGTCCTACACGGGGATATCCTCCATGCAAAAATTTGGGCTAGAAATCCGTCTGCGCATTTTGGAAAATGGGTGCTTGGAAAATAAGGGCAGATTGCCGCACAGAATTTTTGCTGAATATTGGCTTTGAACCAATGCATATGCAGCAATTACGATTCCGCGCACCTATTTCCTAGCAATTAAAATGCAAATTTTAGCTGATTTTTTAGGTATCAGCCGCACAATTAAAAAACTTTACAGTATGGGCTAGGCTAGGCCTAGGCCCCTACTAGGTAGCTTGCACATAAAAATTATAATTGTATCGCAGCCTAGAGTGACTCAGATTCTACCTAGCCTAAGGTATTTAAAAAACTTTGTGCACAGTCTTATTAAATTTAAATTAAAAATATTAGAGTTAATGTAGGATATTATTATATAGGCCCTGGCCCTGGGCCCAGGCCTAGGCCTATTTTATTCTTTGATAATTTCATATTTTTTGTATGAGAATGAGTTATTTTTTATTTTTTATTTTTTTATGTTATTAAAATTAGAAACTTCCATTCTTCCAAATCAGAGAACATCGTAGTGTGTTTGCTTTTTAGTAATACCCAATCAGGCCCCATGTGACCCCGATAAGTCCTAGCCTAGGCCTAGCTAGGTCTAGGGGTGATCGGCCTAGGCCTAGGCCATTAGGCTGCTAGGCCTAGGCCTAGCTACGCCTAGGCTAGAGAAGTCTAGCTAGCCAATGCCTAGAACTTCTATTCTACAAGTATAGGAATAAAAATTTGTATAGTTAATTTTGATGATCATGCACTTGTTAACTTACAACTAAGCTAGAATTTAGACAGTAATTACCAGGACAAGACTGTGCAGATTCCGTTGTTATGGAAAACCGAAGCCGCCTCCCTCTCACACGTTGAATTTTGGAATTGTTGGAGTGTAATTGCGTTCATTGCGACTCCAAATTGAGTTTTTAACGCGTTCGATTTTGACGCATTCCGAACATTATTTTTGCTCTTGTATTTTTATCCGTTCTTGTTTTCAATTAATTAATATAAAAAGCAAGCAAATGGAATATTAAATTATTTGATTTTCATTGTTTTTTCTTAGCTCATCACACATAAATAAGGCCTTTTCGCTGTACAAAACAATCGTTCGCCCTAACCTTGAATATTGCACTGTAATTTTTAATCAATTTCTCTAAATCAGGCACATCGCATCTACGTAGTTCAAAGGGATTTCTGAGATTTTTATCACATACTTTTCCTAATTTTCCTGTTTCGATTCATTCTATAAGTAATCGCAGGAAAGTCTTTGATATGGTATTTTTATATAATTTAAAATTTTGTTTATGATTGTTCACTTATTTATGTATTTTATAATGTTAATGTCCCGGACCCTGACGAGGCAAATGATTTTCATAGAATACCATAATAGGCTATTCTTAATAACCTAAATAGTAATGATATTGATATCCTTCAGGATAATCTTGCTGCATTTAAATCGAAGCTCATGCATCCTATTCTTGAGGAGAATGCATGACCTTCAATTTATCAATTTGAGGATTTCAGTGGGACTGATTGTTTTTTTGTTTTTCTTCTTTCTTTCTTTCTTTCTTTCTTTTTTGTGTTTTTCTATGTTTGCTATTTATTTATTCATTTAATGAACATATTCACATAGGATGGTTTAATCAGGTGGGATGTAACAACCTGTTTAAATGTTTACATATGGTCTTGTTTTACGATAAAAGATTACAGTATATAAAATATCAAAAATTTCATATTAATGAAATTGAAAAGGACTAAAATAGTAAAGTACAGTAAAGGAATTAATAAAATCGTTTAAAAAAGAAACAGCTTTTAGATAGATATTGATATCGATTTGTCTACAGTAAGATGTGTATAAGAGACAGGAAATATACATGTCTTATCCTTGGATATATCAAGGCAGGGGAGGGTGTGATAAAAATAAAGAAAACTTTTATTTTTTTCTGAAATTTCTATTTTTTCGTGGCAGCGGATGTGCTAATTGGCCAAAAATAAAATTTTATTTTTATTCAAAATCATCAATATTTGCGTTCGGCGGGTTTTTAAATAAAAAAATAAAATAAAAGGATAACAAACTTATTCTTATTTTTTTTATTTTGATTTTTGAAATTGATTTACCGTAAATCTCTGTATGTCAACCTCCGGACCGCGTAACGGAGCGCAAGTTAGATATAATTGTTTGATTTCTTAGAATCAATCACACCCGATCAAAAACGGCCAAGACATTTTATTTTCTGAAGTTACACCAAACTTGTGGGCCAACAGCTGAAAACACACCTAATGCCCTCGAACCTGAATAGAGGTGCTAATGTATTTAAATCAGGGTGAATCTTGGGTGATGCGCGTGGGGAGGGGAGGGGTGCATGCCCTCCAAAGATTACGCGCTACCCCAGTCACCCCCCACCCCCACAAAAAAAATCAAAAGTAGTTAAAAATCACCCAAAATCACCTTATGTTGCGAGTTAGGGCCCCTCAACTGATCATCGAGCACACCCACCTCCACCCGCCCAACTTCACCTTCGCGCACCCACCCCGCCCCATCAGCTCCCCAACTTTAAGACCTTTAGATACGCATGTGGTTAAAATGGTACCATAATGTATTGTACATAGGCCTACCTGACCTGTGGTAACTTTCATATTAGCTGATCTGAAACCGGTTTGACAGTTTCCCGATGAAAAATCAAAGCACGTTGTATGTACTCTTTCGAGAGCGGCGCTTGGGGGGAATGTCACGTTTGTTGCGCGGCAATTATTCTAGACAGATTTCTATGTTACAGGAGAGACGCTTAATTGAACATTTGGGTAATATTTATTACTATTTTTTTTTTCTTTGTTTTGTTTTCTTGTATAAAAGAAAACTAATTTTAAAATAGGAAATAGACCTAACCCATTTTGAAATGCATTTAGACCGAGAAATCTCACCTTTACGGATTTTCACAAAGATGAATTTGGCGTTAAGTGGACTTACAGCAACATTCCGTCTAGCTAGGTAAAAATAAACAACTCCCCCAAAATTTAGCTGCCGCTGTAGGTATAATGAAATATTACGTCATAGAATTCAATTAATGATAATGACAACAAAAATTCAAGCTCTTCGCGTAAACCTGCCATATGTAAACAAGTAGATAAGTTTTTTGTTTATAAGGATTGTTGTCTTAATAACTAACTCCATTTTTATGAAAATCCAAGTATAACATTGTCTGTGTTGTTTCATTTCAATAAACTTAAGCCCTGTAACAGATTATCAACTTATACTTTGACAAAAACATTTTAAATATGGTCATGATGACATCACATCATGACTATATATGGGCACGCAATTGGTTTTTTGTTTCAAACAAAATTTGATAGCCTGGACAAAGCTTAAGCTAATTGATAATGTACTTTAATACGATTCTCAGCTTTCTTATTTGCATTAATTTGTTGCATAGTAAACAGACACATCCAAATGATATGTAGGCCTATGCTCTGTTCACTGCCTCGCGGCATATCATATCATCGTATGATTATTACATGTTAGGGTAGGCGGTAGGCCTTCTTTTCCATGCCAAGATACAGAACAACGACGATTCAGGCCAACACATATCTCTCAAATCATATCCACCAAACACGTAATTACGTATAAAATTAATTATATATATATATAGGCCTACTTGTAGACACGGGCTTACAAGAAAATAATTACAACGGCGTCATACATATTCATTGTCATCCCATCATCTATTTTCAGATTTGTCAAAAATATTTTCTGACTGTAATTACTTGCAAAATGTTGTTAATGCATTCGTGTTAGAATTCTGTAAAAATTACATGCGAAATGGAAACTTCTTCGAATTTATCCAGTGTAATTACTTTGGTAATGTAACTTTTCGTTTTATCTCGTTTTACCACGAATACACGTTGAAGAGTCGAAAACAGATAACAGTCGTAAAACGTAGCATAATTTTGTTCTCTTGGTTGCGATTCTCTTAGGAATAGTTTTCGATGTATTTAGTGTCGTAAATCGATATGGTGGTCTCTGATGCACTGGCGGGGTTAACGTTGGTATTTAGTGACCCACTGTTACATTTTCCTACCATAAAACGAGTCCAGTAACCACACCACGGAGATTAAGCATAAACCAATTGCCGACCAGTGACTATTATATTACGCTTTCAAACATCAAAAACAATCGTAAATAACAATTTGAACGGAAAACATCCACAGACCTTGAATTTATGAACATTTGGATTAGTACATCAATGACGTCACTAATCACTTGTTTATTTTCGTTAGAATTTTTGAGAGGATTGTTTTTCTGAAAGTTGGGGTTAAATTCTTTCGGACACAATAGATGACCACAAGAGAACATCTTCAGTTCCGATAAATAATCCAACTGGGAAAGTGCGTCATGAAGGAAAATATGCACATAATTAACACTGAACATCCACATGTCATCTTGCTGTACGTGTTCACGCGTTATACCACGCGAACCATGCGTTGTACCTCGCGAAAACATTCGCTTACTGTATTACGTAATGTGATATATTGATGATTAGACCTATTAAAAGATGTACTGCAGTATCAGTCATATGGTAAAGAAATTTAAAATTTAAATCCCCCATTTTAATTGATTAATTTGCATATTTAAGTAAATTAAAATTATTTGACGTTTGTATTTCAAAAATAAATAATAACTGGGTGGCTGGTTAATGATTTGTAGTAAAATGTCTGTAAATCGGCGAAAACTAGTTTTCATCTGTTTCTCGTTTAATAATTTATTTGATCTTTTCACATGAGCTACTTAATATTTTATTTAAATTTTGAGGTATATTCCTGTCTTTTTTGATTGAGTACATCTTTAAGATATTGTCGAAGCATCAGCTTCTGAGTTGTAATGTTTAAAATGATATAGTTCCAAAGCATTACATATGTGATTTAAAAAATAAAGAATTTGAAATTATGACTGAAAGTTGTTTACGTTTATGTTGATTTCTAACCTTTGTCGAATCATTGCTCATAGAAACCTTAAAGGCAATTAAATTTGATGTGCGCATCGTGTGGACTAGGGTTCACCACGCTCCGTGAAGTCTAGAATATCAGGCGCAGTTGCAGTAGGCTAACCTAATTCTAGATTTGCTATTATTGTACAGTATAATCTTTAGTGATGATAATTATTATATCATGACTCTGAGGATGGCGCCCTCATAAAATTGCAACTGCCGCGTACATGACATAAAACATTACGCAATACAGAAATAGCAATTATCGCTGCTGACACTAAGAGCAATAATAATAACAATAATATTATTAATAATGATAATAATAATAATGATGTTGATGATGATAATGATAATAATAATAATAATAATAATAATAATAATAATTAATAATAATAATAATAATATTAATAATAATAATAATAATAATTTAGTTTCCTTCCAACAATAATATTATTAATAATGATAATGATAATAATAATAATGATGTTGATGATGATGATGATAATAATAATAATAATAATAATAATAATTAATAATAATAATAATATTAATAATAATAATAATAATAATAATAATAATAATAATAATAATAATAATAATTTAGTTTCCTTCCAATTTTTACTTGTATCTTTTATCAAAATGTTATTAATATTATTTGGTTTTTTATATCATCTACATTGATTTAAATGAGTGATTGTTATGGTCTACAGTATACATAAGTTACCGACATAGAATTATAATTAACACATAATGTTCCTCTTTATTGTTAAAACGAAATCATAGAAAGCATTAACAGTTATTCACGCTCTATTTAAAGTACCGATGCATATTCGATGTAAATCCGTTCACCATAGAAGCATAGCAAAAAGTATTAACGATTTACGATGATGATTCGAAACACAGACACAGTTATTAGGGCATCATCAGCCGTCGATAAAAAATGGGATTGTAACTAGAAGGTTCGCACGCGTCAATACGCGGTGGTGAGTAGCACCTTTTATCTTGCGTGATTATATGTAATCTTAACAATATCTGATGTATTAGCAGGGATGTAAGTTAAGGACATACTTAGTATGAAGTAATACCGCCTGAAGAAACCAAACGCATTCGTACAATTGCCTTCAGTTAGACCTCCCTCTCATTACTCGTTGAAGCCGCTTGTGTCACGCTTCACGTTACGGTTGAATTATATAATGTACAAGTTTTATTTAATTGTACCCTGTATAATTTCTGTCTCATAACCATTATCATCATCATCCCCTCGTATTCGTCGTCATCATCATCATCATCATCATCATCATCATTATAATCATATCTTCATCATAATCATGATCGTCGTCGTCATAATCATCATCAGTTTCATCATCACCATCATTATCTTCATCTCATCACTTCCATTGCTGTTTGCCATCTCTATATGAAGAAAATGAAATTACGCATTACGAATCATCACCATCACTATCATCATCATTACTGAAATATAAATGACCGCGATGTCTTCATTGTACATAAAAGTAGGCCTATGTTAATATTTGTTCCAACAGGGGACTCTAATTATTCGACACACGTATGTCGTATCTGTTTTTACCACTTGTTTCGCGCTTCAGATCAATAATAGATTCACAATTATTGTTAAGCACTTGACACTCGACAGGTCTATCGAATCTGCTCTCGTAAATCTCGCGAGGCCTAGAGATGGGCACGCGCCTCACACAACGCGCCAATCGGCCACAGAGCTTTCGACCTATTTGTGAGGTACGGTATTTGTTTGGCTTGCCGCTTGCAAGTCAGCGTGTACGTTAATCTACATTTCTCGAAGCCTAAAAAAACTAAACATAAACATACCGTAGGAATGCTGTAGATCCAAACCTTTCGATTTGTTTATAATCTAAATCACTTTTGACACGGGATCCATTACACCGACACTTTTATGAAGCCACAGACTCGGTGCACAATTAAGCGCAGTAGTTCAGCAACACGGTCCATATCATGTTATTACACTTGAATATTGTTGTTCCTCCTTAAAAAAATATTCTACAATTGTTTAGTGACACGGCTGTGCGGCTGGCAGGCAGTTGCCAACACCTAACTCGATACTGGTACAGCACTCTCCCATGCCACATTTATCATTCATCAACGCGGTACGGTCACATGGCAGTTGTATGTCCTTCGATCATCACCCTTATTCCTATAAAGAAAAAACAAAAAGCTTGATTGCTTCTCGTTACAACGTCACGGAATAACACACCATTGTATAACAGTGGCAAATGTAGAGGGTGAGAAAATAGGACGAATGGGTGTATGCAAGTTGGGAGGGGGTCGGAAAGGTCGTACTACCCCCTCCCCCCTAAAATTTTCAAAGGTCCACATTTTTCTAGGGTCTTTTCACAATGACATAAATGAAAAAGCATTGAGGAATACCAGAAATGAGTCCAAAGCCCTTGCCAATTGCGTGACGTAATATATCTCCATTCCAGGAATTAAAAAAAATGTATTGACATTTTAATCACATCTTGCTGTTATTTCATTGTGAAAATGTCAAACAAAATTTGATCACGACCCACCCAGAAAAAAATCCTGGATACACCCCTGCGACACTCACTTGTCCTCCCTCCCTGTTCCCTGGCAGCAGCCAACCAAATTTCAACTATGAAATCCTTTAGAAAAAAGATTATAATGTCTAATTTCAGAGCTTTTAGTCGATAGCCCCTTGCTGGATTCCAACAACTAGTGAGAGAAAACATTTCCCCATCCGACCATGGTCCCTTCCCCCGTCGCACAATCGATTGCCAATCGCTCCCCTCCCGGCAACAAAGATAAAATACGCTTAATCTACTTTAGCGTAAATATTATTGGACATGCGATGGCGGATACAGGTGAGTAAATGTTCCGCCCCTTTTCGGGCGTTACGTTCTCAACGCTACACCCCGGATCCGACACTCCAGGCTCGAGTCTTGTACTTTGGGTGTATTTCGTTATGATAATGGGGCCACTGTTAGGCCGATAGGAAGTGAACCTATAAAATCGGATGAAGCTTTCGATTGCGTGATCAGGGTAGGAACCAGCGGTGGGGCCAGAAGTTTCTGACAAGGGGTCCGACATGTCTGACGGAGGGGCCGACTAAAGGGGCCGACTAGAGCCTTGTAGGGTTCATGGGCAGGCCCATAGCGGGGGGGGGGGTTAAAGGGGTTACGAGGACCTCCCAAAAAAACTGGAGAAGGTCCGCATTTAAAAACGAAAAATTCATATTCGTAGATATATTTACAACGTTCTCCGATCGGAGATCATACAATCCAAAAGTAATAAAATATGACATATCACTAAGTTCATCTCTGTGTTGTGGCTTTGTTATTGTATAACGGTTTCCAAAGGGCCCACTTGCCACTGAAACGAACCTCCCACAAATTAAGTCACGCTACGGGCCTGATGGGGAGAGTTTTTATGGCTTAGTATGGTCTAAAATGTGCTTTTAGACCACAGGGAAGTAGCCAAGATTTTAAAAGGGAAGGGAATTGTTGGGGTGCAGTCTTGTGAGGTATACGTCACATATCGAACGGGGATGGGTTCGGACAGGACAGTCCCCCTCCCTACGCCAAGGACCCCGGCGGGGCCAGGGGGGCGAGACCCCGGTGGGGTAACGCATTCTGGACGTTTTAAGACTGTTTTGAGTGTAAGTGAAAATTGCAATAGACACATAAATAATATTAGTAGGCCTAGCAATAATTATAATAATAACTCAACAGTGGTGGATCCAAGAATTCGAAAAAGATGTGGCCAAGGTAGGGACATTTACAGATAGGATCGACCCACCTTGGTTTGGGCTGAGATGCGAACATTTGAGTAATAGTACTCTCTAGATTGTCGGAAATGACAACTTTATATAGTAAAATTATTCATCATCATATCACCATTTTGTAGTCAACAAATTTCTCATGATCATTTATCAAGGGATACTCAGCAAACATTGAAATCTAATTAAAATGTGTGATGAATCATAGAAAATAAAACTTTAAAATCATTGTCTTTGATTTTAACTTTACAAACTTCTAATGTTACAAGTCGACAACCACCTCAGCCCCACCTTGGCTGGGACCGAGGTGAGAAAATTTGAGGAAATAGGACCTCTAGATGGCCGGAAATGACACTTTATATAGAAAAATGATCATCATCACATCACCATTATATTATAGTCAAAATGAGGCCCCAACAAATTGCTCATGATCTCTTATAAGTGATTTTCGACAAACATAGAGATTTAGGGAACCCAAGGCACCTCAGGTCTAAACTATAACTATAGCTTACGAAGGTTTAACAACAATAATAATTATAGGCCTAATGAATGGACAATTTACAAATTTATTTTTCGCTTTTAGCACAATTTTCTTCGCAGTGCTGTTTAATATTATTAATATTATTACGGTATCTATTATCATTATCACTATCAGTATCGTCATCATCATTATTATTACTACAACTAGTAGTAGTATTAAAGAAAAAATTTATAAAGGTTGCAAAAATATAAAAACAAAACTGAACCACACATTATCACATTTCTGTATCTTAAAAAATTAAGCTGATTGTTTGTTAAGTAAGTTTGATAAATCCACCCCCTGAGCGGTAAAGCTGTTATAATCCCGAACATTTTATTTTTTGCATTATCGTTTATATATCGTTTATTCTAATGAATATTCCAATGGTTACTATCAGGGTAGCAGTTGGATTTCATTAACAACGATTATTGTGGGCTTCTATCAGAGCACTCACAAACATAGGCATAGTAGAGGAATCAATTAGAAATTTAACATTTGAATCAACAAACTCCGTGTTTTTGTTTTGTTTTTAATTTGTAATCGTATAGAAGTGACACGTCTTCCTCGGAGTTGACTACTATCGCATAGCGTAGGTCAACAGCAAAATGACGTATAAAACTAACCATGTTCTATTTGTATTTCTAATTTGCGTAAACAAGTCATACTTAGGCCTGTGTTATAAATAGTATTATATGAATAACGTGTGCATATTTACATATTTTAGAATTCTAAAATATGTAAATATGCACACTTAAGCATTACTTAAGTAATTCGTTTTGAGTGATCCAGGAAAGAATTTGTATTGGCTAACAAAACAAGCTTTAAAATACTAACATTGTGTGCAAAGTGACGAGAAGGGTGGGGGAGCCGCGGCTGAATATGTTGGGATTGGCATTCATAATAACGTTAATTGGAGATATATAATAATAATAATAATTATTATTATTATTATTATTATTATTATTATTATTATTATTATTATTATTATTATTATTATTATTTATTGGAGGTAAGTTATTATTTTTTTAAATTTTTGATTTAACGACCAAGTCGTGTGTCGGACGAAAGGGGGTCCAGGGCTGTCCGGCGGGTGGGCACATTTCCCCACCCCGCTCGCGCCACCTCTGGTAGAGACTAAAACGTAATGACGTCACTAAGGAGTCATCTGGACATAATGAGAGAACGTTGAGTTCTCGTTACCCAGGATTCTAGGACGCAATTTGGCCCCGAATGTTCTATGGTTGCGCAGAGAACGTACAGTCACGGATGAGTGATTCCATTCTAGAGTTACGTTGTCGCGCAAATCTAAAAGCTCCCTAAAATGTAGCAGCAGCAACAGCAGCATTGGCCCTTAGTAGTGTATAACAGAATCAGGAAAAGTGACTACAGGAGTACTATTTATAATCGAATTAGAACGCTATTAGCACTAGCTTAAGGGACAATATGACATAAAACGAAAGTGACAGGTACTCGCATTGACAACTCGTCAAACATTTTAAGAGAACGTGAATTTGAACATTAGTCGATACTGGACTGAAAAAGTAAAATAATTTTAAGAACAGAAGTGTGCCATTCAGGATAGATTCTTTAAAATGTATGGAATTTATAATAGTTGGCATTTCATGAATAATGATCATTTCAAAAATTAAATGCATAGTGGCTTTGACTTTGAGTGGGTACTTCTTAACTCCTTATTCAGGCAACGTGCGAAGGGGAGAAGGTGGTGAGCATTGATATGAATATGTGTGGCTCGACATGACTCACAGGGTAGGCACTGTAAACAACTGCTGCACTATTTAAAATTTACATTTTAAAAATTACAGTTTTTAATTCAAGTTATTTGACGAGTTGTTAAATTAGTCTTTATTATTTTAAATATTTACATTTTAAAGGTTTAGTATATTACAATATATTTGTTAATTCTAATGATTAAAATAGTTGTGTAATTATTACAATTTAATTTTTTTTAATTATTATATTTTCGATTATTTGTTTTATTTTAATTCTAATTAACATTTTAGCAAAACAAAATTTATTTATATATTTTAATGTTCTTCATTACGGTATTTTCTTTATCTATCAGTTTCATTTTAAGATTACTACATAAACAAAATAATTTACTGTTTTTTTCGGTGATTCACAGCTAGGTTTTTATTTCATAATGGCTGACAAACACACTTACAATAGCAATGTAAATTTACCTATAGAACTAGGCAGTAGGCCTCCGTTACAAACGATTTGTAGAATCGAAAGCCAGCTGCACGCTACAGATGTCGTCTCGTCAGCACTGTAGCGCTTGCCCTTGACGCAACGTCTTTCTGTTGATCGTCTGAGCGGATCGTCGCGCGACGCATCTTCGTGTCGCAGTATCTTGAGATGCAGTCCACGGGGCTTAGGAGTATTATAAAGAAGCTCAATAAGCATTCTTATGTAGTGTTTATGACCGACTTGTGCGAAATTGAAGTCAGTGTGTAACTTAGGCTTAAACAGAAGCCCGAATCATACTCGGGGCCTACAGCGACATAATCCATCGTGTCTGAAGTGGCGAAATCGGATTTAAACATAAATTGAGAGGAGATTTATTAATTTCATTTCCAAACATTGTAGACATATAATATACACACTGACACTTTACACTGATCCACAGGTTTCTGACTATGATGTATTGGTATTCCATGGTCGTCGAACATTGCCGCATAGATCCGACACTTCGTTCAAAGTCTTTTTTACATAAAACGCTAATATAATACTCTTTTATATGCCTAAACGTTAGCCTACTGATTTTTTTTATTATTATTGTTTTCTGGAATTAACGGTATTTTTCAATGATTTTTTTTTTCACGGTCAGAAGTGTTCTCCTACGTGCTGTGTAAAGATAAGCCGGCAACACTATCAACATTTTGACAGACCAGGGAGTTGTTATAATAGGGAGCTTTGCATAGTAGAGATCTGTAACGGCGTTACAATAGGTCTTGTGCACGTGCGAGAACGTTAAGTGCTCGTCGCGTGGATTCAAATTGAGCAAAAATCTACTTTGCGCAAAGAAAGTAGGACGCTCACGCATGACTGAATTCTTTTTAGCGTCACGTCGTCGTCGCGCAAGTTGAAATCGAAAGCTCCATACAGAGTTTGATCAGACATAATCGTGTGTCTATTCCTAGTTCTGTTGGAAAAGTCAGAAAATATTCTGCTACATCAAAGTATGATCAAATATTATCTGTTGAGTTTGACATACTTAACTGAGAATTTACGGTAAGTCTATCCCCAGCTTATCATCAGGCTAGGCCTACCACTCCGATACGACACTTGTGGTCTCTATGTTTTTTCCGTTTATAATCCTTTATAATAATATAGCAGATAATGTAGAAGTGAAATAACTACCGTACCATATCCAAAAGCCTAATCATTTTACACATTTTCTCATAGTCTTGACGCACGTCATTCAGAACACTGTTTTATTACATCAGTGTAAGCCACAGGCTTGCACGTAATACATATTTTGTGTTCATTAATACGATATGTATTTTCTGTGATGTATTATTGTTTTTCTTGAGTCAAACACATGAATACGACTCGCCAAAAAAAAAATTGGCTGTCACGGTTGTTTAAATTTTGCGATGTAGTTCTTCTTCCGACGTCATCGTCATAGTCATCGTCCATGATGTAGTTATGGAGGGCGGAGCTTGAGGTTTTCCACCCAGTCTAAAGCTAATTTCATGGCCCTCCACCCACCTTTATTATAACCCCATTGTCCATTCTCAAAATCCACTCATATTTAGAGTTTACCAATTTTATCACCCACCATCCTTAAAATGTCTACCACTTAGTTTTCTGCAGCTACAACCCTGATCGTCGTCGTCATCATCATATAAGCATCTTCGTCATCGTCGTTATCTTCATCATTCAGACACAGGGCCCAAGATTTCCAACAGAGAACTTAATCACTGTCCTACTCATATTCAAAATTACAAGACAAACATACAGACACATGATGTTTCATCATTATCATTGTAATTATTAATATTATTGATGTTGTTGTTTAAGTTGTTGTTAAGCTCGAGTACCAATATGACTCGCATTTGAAGCACTTTGAATTTATGATACAGACAGCATGTAAATGTTGACCTAACATGTTCTGATGTAAAGCAATACGTTTTATATCTTACTAGTGTTATATGGATCAACGTGTATTCTGTGAGGAAGTAGGCCTATATAACACCTCTGCGTGCACGTAATCGCGTTTATAGTTAACTCACGGAGCAGGTATATACCTTCAATTCGTCTCTTCCATTTCTCTCTCTGTCTTTAATAGAGACTTAAAGTGGTTCTTCATGTCTATAGTAAACTTTATTGTCGTATATCTCATTTCAACAGTACTTAGAATATCAAATGTTGGAAAATTGAAATTAATAAAGAATAACTCATTTTTGTCGCATGTAACGACAGCAGATTATGTCCGTGGGTTTATCTTTTTGTGTTTTTTTTCTAGTGTTGAGTTTCCTATGTAAACTATCCTCGCCACGCACCTCCCAGCATTATGAAATGTGTATAAGGACTATGTACGTAAAAATCAATAACTATAATTACAGTATTAATGATAGTAAACCAGTCAGGTTATGTATACGCTGGAAGTAAAGTAAACATGTTTTCAATGTGTCTTGAGATGGAATAATATCAGAAACCTGACATTTGAATGGAGTTACAGTTGAAACTTTTCTAGAGAATAATATTAATAAAACATATTGCGAAATACTTAATTGGAAAATCAGACGAAAAGCAAATATATTGCAGCATTCCAGATATAAATAATATTCAGCTTATGTAAAATCTACTTGCTTGGACCATTATTTTCAAGAACTACCCAACCAACAATTTTACGTTTTAATGACTTTGCACTTTGGTGCTCTACACGTTTGTAAAACCATGAATACGTATTTATGACGTAGTTTACAACCAAATAATTTTATCGTTATGTTAAATGCTATTTTCTGACAGTTTAATTACAACGTTCGCGAATTTTATAATAACGTTTTATTTTTGCTGGATCCATGGATCATTAGAAGATTTCCATCCTCTCCACTTTTCCAAACATCGTTGTATTAACTTACTTAGGCTTTGGTGGAATACCAGGAAGTGGGTCCAACTTTAATTTTATGAACCATTTTACTGGTAAAAACCCAACAGATGTAGATTGTTTAATTTTATATAAAATACATTGGTATTATATTTTTGGTTGTAGCTGTTAAGCGCGAGTCAGCAACTACCACATACCGAGACCGAAGTTGGGAACATCTTAACAACAAGGTCGTAATCAATCGTACTGTATATTCATTAGAAATATTAACTCTGTAACTCCCACTTAAAAAGGAAATCAAGCCCATCCAGGTTTCCGCTGTCGAGAATATACAAAAACACTTCTGTTTACAAATTGTAAATTTATTGAATTCAATTCTAATTATCTTGATTGATGAAAATGAAAAGTAAAGCTGGAATTTTTATAAAACAGAAGTGTTAATATAGAAAACCAAATTTCGTCCCAATGGTAGCCATCACATAATTCAAACACTCGGCAAATTTGTGAATATTTAAATAAAAAAAGTTGGATGACTCTGCTAAAGTTGTTTTCTAAATAATGACAATCTATAAACGTGTTATTGACAGATAATAGGCCTAATGATTATATCTTCAAATAATAATACAGACGGTCGTTTCTTAGTTGTTTTCAATGTCAAAATATTATTAGACCGTTGCAAGGTTTTCAATCCATGTTTTGAAACTATCACCGATTTTAAGGTATTCATAAAATGAAGGAACATTATTCTCAACACATATTGCATCAACACTCCAAGGACGTCTTTTAAGATCAACATAAAGACATTATTTTAGAAGTTTTGCATTGTACATGGTATCATATACAGGTCATATAATGTTAATGTTTTCTTTCTTCCCTTAGACTCAATGTTTAGGGCATTAATTTTGAATAGGCCCTACATAGGCCAAGGGTCAGGAGTATAAAAACAGATGTTTACAAAATGCAATATTAGTTAACATAATTTGTTTTGTTATAAGCAAGATAAATATATTTTTAATATTTTATATTAAAGTAAAATTGTTATTAAATGTATAAACTTATTTTCTGTTGGATAATTGTAAAAATAGACTGGTAATAACTCTTCTCACATCTTATGAGAATACATAAAATGAAGTAAAGTGATACACTTATCTTCAACTTCATTACATTAACATAATTTACATAATCTTAATTCTATTTTTCCCCCATACCATCTATCTTTTTCAAGCTCAATACCGAGAATTCCTAAATGAAATTGGGTTAGTAATTATTTTTGTTTAAAATGTTTAATTTGAAGTAAATAATTTTCTATACAGTATATTTTTCTGTTAATAATACCGTAAAACCTCGAATTGAAGCCGTGGGCTTTTTTTTTTTTTTTTTTTATTTCTCCGAATTTTTTAAGGGCTACATTTCGAAGCTACTTTTGCGAAGTAAAGAGGGGCGGGGCTTCTTTTCAAAATGAATACTGTAAATTTTGTGGATTTGCTATTAAACAATAAATAAGACCGCTGTAACATCATCGTGTATGTTATTTTATTGCTAGCTGCACTTGGAGAGCTCCCAGAAAGTAGCCTTAACGCCACTTTTGAGCAATCCAGTCTGATGTTATAGCATTGTTTCTTTTCTGATTTTTTTTGTTTGCTTGTTTATCTGTTACTGTGTAAGTTGAACTGAAGACGAAATAAATGATATGATATGATATGATATCAATCTGTATCATGGAATGTATCTAACTAAAATCTAATTAAATCACCTGAACTACTGTATAAACCAAGCTCATTTTTAATCTATTTTGTTTTTTGAAATTCATCTCCAAAAGAAGCCTACGCTATCTTGAAAAGAAGCCCTGGGCTTCTTTTCGAGGTTAATTTTGCAAA